GGTGGGATGAGTGCGGCCGGCGGATCCAGACTCGGATCCCGGTTCGCGGCCAGCCAGGCTCAAGTTCGCGCCCTGCTTAGAGGGGTAGGCGGTTCTCTACAGGAATGCAGCTTGTGAAGTTGGGGTGAGTGCGGTCCTTGCCTGGTCCCCGCGCTTGGCCACAGCCACGTTCGGGCGGCTGCAAAACGTGATGGGGAGGAGCGGGGACTCTAGTCAGGTCTGGACCCCCACGTTTGCTTTGTTAGCTTCTTTATGGGCGATCTCAGGCCAGGGCTTAATCTCAAAATTTGTTAACTAGTCTGGAAGATGAGAATAATAGGAACACCAATCCCATGTGGTTGTAGAGAAGATTCAAGGAGGGAATGCAGGGAAGGCCTCTGCCCTGTGTTGGGTGCTTCCTAAGTCTGAGTAGTTATAGCTGTTGCAGAGTCGACCACGTTGTACGTTCTGGGCGTTTGGGGCAGGCCTCTTGAAGCCAGAAATTGTGGATTGGGGACTGCAAACCAGTGTTTCCTGAGGGCCTACCATGCATTTATATGCCCCTAAGTTACTGTTCTCTTCATCCCCACCTGGGATGGGGGAAACTGCAAAATCAGTTATTTGTTGAGTAGCTACCATGCAGGAACTCATGTTGGTTGCTGCGTGAGGACCCAGAGCAGATCTACTGTAGCCTTGCAAGATTTCTCCAGGTAGAATTTAGGGCTTCTCTCCTGTAAATCCTCACGGCACTTTTCTTAATGATACTTACCCTCCCGAATTGTGCTCTGTTTGTCTAATTTGAGAGTAGGGACAATTAACTTTGTACACCTAGTAAGACCTAGTACTTTTACTGTTTTGTGTGTCAGACACTGACGAAACATTATCAAGAAGGCACTGCCGAGACACTGGAACACGTGAAACATGGACTTTTCCAGGCCCAGGGTGGTTCTTATTGGTGTGCAGAGTAGAAGCATCTTGGGATAAGCGCTAGACGGGGAGTCAGGACACTTTGATTCTGCCACTGTCTTTATAACCCTAGACTAAGCCGTCCTGTCTTTGTCTTCTCTGTCTGTAGGGAGTTGTACAGCCTGGTTTCACCTGAGCCCTTAGTTCTGTCTTCTGAAAATGTTAGGAAATTATTCTGATAACTTGAGTCTTGGAGGTAGAAAGCCTTCCACATTCTCACCTACTTTTCCCTTGAGTCAACTAACGTCTACTTTTTCTTGGTCCCGTGACACTGGTTGCACTTACATACTATATCAGATTAGAGCTATTTGTCTCATATACACTGGATTTCTGGGACAGGTCTTTTCCATCAGCCTTCCTGGAGGACATGTTTTAGTACCTTGTACTTGGTGCTAGTAAAAGTTTAAGGATTTAGATTTAAACAGTTGTGGAAAAATTAGCAGGAG